ATCGTATTCTACTGTATTTGAATAATTATTCGAACTATTACATGTCAAATTTGAAACACGGTTAGGAACGATATGAAAAATTTCTATAAATAATTGATATTAAGAAGATTAATCACTTTAGCATATATTTATAAATTTCAGAATTCCGAATTGTTTACGTTGACGTACGGAGCACTGGTGGCTCAATTATTAAAAGATTATGAAAACGTCGAAGATGTAAATAAACAACTGGAAAGAATGGGCTACAATATGGGAATTCGCTTGATAGAAGATTTTCTGGCTCGCACTGGATCTGGACGGTGTTACGATTTTCGAGATACTGCTGAGAAAATCCAGACTGGTTTCAAAATATTTTTGGGAATACAACCAACAATCACAAACTGGAGTGCAGCTGGTGACGAATTTTCCTTGTGCTTCGAAGCTAATCCATTGATAGAATTTGTTGAATTACCAGATAACTGTTTAAATTTGAAGTATTGTAATATATTGATTGGAGTATTGAGGGGAGCTTGTGAAATGGTACAGATGGAAATTGCTTGTTGGTTTGTACAAGACCAACTAAAAAATGATAATGTAACTGAGATACGTGTTAAATTTATTAAGAGATTAGAGGATGCTATTCCAGCAGGTGAAGATTAAGCAATTCCTTAATTTCAAAGGTACATATCAAATTACTTTTAAAAATTCTCTTTCTTATTTATATTATATATATTAAACAATATTAGTGTACATGTACTAGAGTATGTAGGATTGTTGTTGCACTTCCTCTTGATTAAATGTCATTGGATAAAAGAAGTAAACTCTATATGTACTTTATGTGAAAATATTATGTTTATGTTATTTTATAAAGCATTTTTAAAATGTGTATATCTTAGAAATATTTGCACTATAACTATCTATGTTGGACAATTTTTCTCTGTTTTATGTGTTCATAACCTTTTAAATTTAACTCGTAATAGTGTACTTTTTCCTTATAGATAATGGAAGTAAAGTGTAAACATTGCAGAAAAGATCTTTTTGACAATGAACGCATTCCACTGATGACTTCTCATGGCGAAGTAAAAAGAAGTTGTATGGATGTAGGATGTGGGGCAGCCAATTCTGAATCTTGTTCATATTTGCCTACAGAGATGCTCCCTGAATGGATTGAACATGCTATAAATCAAGTAAAGTGTTTTTTGCAATTATATTATTATGACGTTCCAGTATTGTCACATGTAATTAAAATATCAAAATAGATATTAAGTACTGTATCATGAATAAATATTATGTGAACGAGAAGAATTCACAAATATCAAAACTGCCGCCCGCGTAAACATACATAAGAGAATGTGCATCTTTTACAGGAATCATGGACAAAAGGTAGACTTCATTGCCCAAATTGTAAAAACCGTGTAGGTTTGTTTAATTTTGTGAATGAATCAAAATGTGATTGTAACAAATTTATAATACCCCCAGTTAGAATAACTAATAGCAAAGTCGACATTCGGTTCAGCATTGACATTTCTGAAACTGATCCTATCAGCTCAGATTAAAAAGCCTCAAGCTTTAATCAATCTCTAAATAATGAATTGTACAGATATAGCTTTATAATCCTTAGCAGTTAAAATATTGTACTGTAACACCTGTTATATTTACACTGCTTAACACAGTCAGCGATGTTGGATCATTCAAAAAAGATTTTATGTATTCACCTATACTATTAAATGTATACAATTGAGTAATAACTATAACTTGGCATTTTTATTTCGACATTGTATATAAGCATGCAGAGACAGATCAAATCTCTTCTAAACTCGTAAACTGTTGGCAATTCTCACCAGTTTTTTTACAACATGTACCTCCAATTTTCGTTATTGCATATGTACATGCAAATTATGTTATCAACAGGCAAGATTCATTTTGCATGTATACAACAAACATTTAAATAGTTCACAGTGTATATCTACAAACACAAACGCACATGAGTAATCAAAATACTGACTGTGTACATTTTACGCAGAACAATGTCTGTTTTATGTTACAATATAATTAATAAATTATATCGTGTGCATTAGAACGTCTTTTAATTAAAAAATATTCGCATCAACAATAACATAACAAAATAATACATATTGATGTAATCAGTGATTTAAATATTGAATCATTTTTGTAAATCAAATAATTGTTTTCATATCACTGACATAAGCAATTGCTCTCAGATTTTAATGACAATTTTAAGGCAAAATACCTATTTTTTAAATCTAAAAAAAAAAAGTTTTTTAATACTTCAAATAGGGTGTACATGTTAAATTCATTTGTGCATTATGTACAAACGATTCTTAGACAATAGCAGATTTAATTCTACCGAAGTTCGTGATTGAGATTATTTATATACTGAGTTACAAAATTATTTTTTACGTAGTTGTAACTAAGAATTGAGCACTGATATTAACTTGAATAATGTTCCGTGTTGCTAGTCGTTGGAGACTGGTTTAGATAATTCAATTAGTTAATTTCATATACAACAAATTTTTTATCTAAGCTGTTATTTGCCTATTTTGGCATTTAACGCTTAGTGAAACAAAAATAAAATACATAAAGAAATAATAGAATAACAACATTCTAGGGAAGACAATAGAATTGTTTTGAAAGTAGATTTGTACTACTGAGTATTAACATTGGATCATATCAATATTTTAAATTTTAAATGATAGGTTCCATAATTATTCGTTTGGTACAATTTAAGTTACAAGCGGTACATATAACTTGATACAATTGAATTTGTTTTAATGGTCGTATTGAAAAACATATTGCTGTCCGCAATAAAGATAAAAATTTGATTTATGTGAATCAGCCAAACTTAATATTTCTAAACGTAAAATGTTTAGAAGAATGACAGAATTATTTATACAGTCTACTTCGATTAAAGGCACATATGGTTTGCTAAGAAATATTGTTTGTTTGGACAATATAGAGAGCTAGTTGATCCAGACTTGTACTCAGACTATAAGAATAAAAATGGTCAGCATTAATTTTTACAAATACTTTCAATTACTGCAATCAAGATAGATTAAACAAATATATGAAAAACAACGAATTGATAGTGGATCAACCAGTATCAAATATGAATTAGTTTTCTATTATTTTCAGTACATTACTTGGTATTCATGTAACTTTTGTTCAAGCTCTTTAATGACATTGTCAATTTTAAATGTATTACAGACCAACAAAATGTAGTTGCTACAACTGGAATATTTCGTCTTGTTGTTGTTGAAGTCTTTGTAAAGACGTTTTCACTTTCCTGCCCTGAGTCATTACTACAGCAGTCGGAAAATTATGCATATCGCCAGAAGATGATGGTCTTAAAGACTCTGACGAGGATGGTACGTTATGTGTGTTTGAAGTTACAGGTAGTGAATTACGTAATTTAGAAGTCTTATGTGGTCGTATAAAGATATCGCTATCCTCGGTGCAAAATCTGAAGCACAATTTTCAATTGTTAACAATTACATTCGTCAAAGAAATATTTTCTTACACTTTATAATTCATTGGTAAATAACTTACTCACTGTTCCCCTGAGTACGTTTAACTTCCTTTTTAGCATTGGCTATAGAAGAATCCATTTTAGCTAAGAAATCATTAACTGAACTATCATCATCTATAGATGATGCTATAGAAGATGGACTAGAAATCTGAAAATACATTTGGAAACGATAGAATATCAAGCAATTCATTGTCTATTATATTTGTAGACTAAGATTATATTTACACTTTGAACTAAATGATGTTCAGTTTCTTCTGTATTGTCTGATGATAATGGATTTTCTGAATGAATAGGAATAAGTAAGTATTCCCGTAAGAATAAACTATCAGAAGCCCATAATCTATTAACTCTTCTTATTTGTTCAGTCTAGGAAAATAAGAGAGCGAACTATAACATACAGTTTTATCATTTGTAATCAGTTATAAGATTGATAACAAAACTAAATAGACTTCATACGGTAGCTCCAAATTTCAATGCAATTCCTTGGAGGGTATCAGATGGTGTTACAGTGTACTTTATTAGACTCTCATGTCTTGACACATGTTTAGCTGTACTACCATACTTTTTCAGTGCCTTTCCAGTGTCCCTTATACACATTCGTTCTTCCATTTCTCTCCCGCCATTTCGTTCCATTATTAATTTTTAAAGTAGTGTAGGCGCTTAAGAAGCACCACAAACATGCCACCTTTTAATAATTGTAGACGAAGAATTTCGACACACTTTAAGCAACATAATCACATAACCTGTACAATCGAGAATCATTATTCATATCGGTATTTTACGAATGTCTCGTCTCGTTGGCAGAGACAAATAACGATACATCTTATATAGAAAAAGTTACACTTACTTTATCAAGGGTATATGTCAAAAATTAACAGGGCGTGAACAGTAGATTCACTAAGGAATTACAATGTCTTTTGAAATACAAGCATGTATATACATTTGAGATCGTTTTACGTTAACACATTCTTTCTCTTTTGTAAGAAATGTACCTAGTACATTTATAATTTCAGTTACGACGAATAACTCGTTCGGTCAAACCAAACCACACAGCATACTGCGAGTGGTCTGCACTGCACAGCTGATCGACGTGATAATCACTTACATATAAGTATTCTTTAACCAGAATGATAGTGTTTGCTTCGCTTTCATTGGATGATCAAAGTGCACTGTATATAGGCACAGAAAATATACAAGTCCAATTACTATTACGAAATTTCACTTCAAATAAATTCTATGGAAATACAGATATATATATAGTACTCAAATGTATATACGTATATGAGATATTCGATATCGCATGTTTATATAAAGTCAAATTACACTGGAATGTTTCCGGTGTCACAGTTTATCGAATAGTTAAATATAATGGCTCACTTTATTATCGAATCATATGTCACGTGGTACATTTAAGTTCGTTCGAACAAGCGCATAGAAATTACATTTTATTGCGCGCATGCTTAATGCATGTTTCACGTTCTAAACAATTTTATTTATGTATGTACAAGAAGTTTTATTCCGCGCTCCGTCACTCTGACGTGCTTTCACGTAGACTTCAAATTGCCTCTTGATATCCTTCTCTCTTATAGTCCTATTAGTTTCGAATTATTAGTTCCAACCCCAGCCATAAGCTGGTGATCCATGGTACGCGTATCCGTATCCTCCTCCGTATCCTCCTCCGTATCCTCCTCCGTATCCTCCTCCGTAACCGCCGCCGTAACTGTTAATAGTGAAAATTATATTCAAATATGTTCATGCATCGAACCCTGAATATAATGAATAAGTGTAAAGTATAGCGAACAAAAACTAATCTCTATGGACTTTGTATCGTGATAATAAGAACGAGCATGTTACGTGTATGTATACTCACTATTTAGCTTTGTATAAACCAGCTCCGAGAACCCCGGCACCAACGAGCGCTTTAGCGCCAAGAGCTGCACCGCCTAATAAAAGTGCTTTTTTGCCAACTAATGCCGCTCCAGCGGCTCCCGCTACAAGTAGAGGTAATTTAAGAATAGGAGCTCTTTTTGTGCGACTCAGTTTTCCCGCAGTTTGATCGATAAGGGCAACAGGAAGTTGACCTTCCTCGATCGACGACGAGCTGCGTATTTGATCAACAAGAATCAATACCACCAGGATAAAAAAGTACGCCGATTTCATCTAGGAAGTAAAAGAAATTTCGAAAACTTATAATTTTTCCGTTGTGACTGCGAAAACGAAAGAAAAAGAAGAAGAACTGGAAGACGATTTTAATGAAGAAATGGAACACGAATCGCGCATAAGTGGATTGTTTGAATCGAGAAACTAACTTTGTCCGGAGGATATGATGCAGGCTCGTTAGGAACAAAATATCAGGACGGCTGAAAACACGGGATGACTTTTATATCCGAGAAGCTCAGATTTTATCCCTTCCATACCCGCGAACATAGTAGCTTCGATCTTTTGAAACCGGAATTTACAAATCTCTCCTTCTTCACGTCCTGGCGTTCGTCTTTGTCTCGGTCTGGGTTCGCCTTTGTGTCGCTGAACTCGTCACTGATTAAGAATGTCGTATTTTCTGCTCATCTTTTCTTCTCTGGTGTAGTGTCACGAATATTGAGTGATTTGCATCAATCATGTTCCCACGAGCGGAAAGGATACTGTTCGGAATTTGCCTATTACAGTATTCGAAATACGAAGAACGTCATTTGCCAAAAATGCCAGTCATTAGCTTTCACTAAGTGTTGATTTTTTGAATTTGCGGCCTTGAGAATGCCGGTAATGCTATTTTGGGCAATTCACGGAAAAAACCAGTTGCACAATACATTGCACACTTATACCTAATATTTTTGTCAAACATTAATTTGAGACGAATTTGACGATTATTATCGAATTCAAATTTAAAGCTCTCGATTGATAAAGAAAAGAAAAACGAATGAAGTTGAAAGAAGTAGCCTCTCGCAAGAGGTTGTTGGAGAAAGAGAAAAAATAGGAAGAGGTTTGTACAAGTTATTTATTGGAGAGCTCTTTAACGAAAGCAATGCCACCGAAACGGAAACGAAAAGCGCGAGGGAAGAAGAAAGTACAAACTGCTAGTCCGCAAGATGTAAAGAGAGATACGTTCTTTCGCGAACTCAAGCTCAGCGTGTTAAACACAGACCGTTATCGGTCTTCTTGGAGGGAGATGCTTACACGGATAAAAATGCCAGACTTGTGGCGGAAGGTCGAAATAGCCTGGCAAACTTTGGAGCATGCCTTTGATTTCAAGGACTACAGGTATTCACGGACGTGACATACGATCGTCTGAGGGATGACGGAAATTCCTTTCACAACCGCGCCTCTTTCTTTTTTAGCATCAGTTTATTACTGGACAGTTTGCAAGAGGCCGAAGATCAACGTCGTACAGCGAACGGCGCTCACGTGGAAATGATCAATAGATCGTTGGACGCGCATGAAACGCGGTTGAAGGTCGCCGATGCCCTGTTTTATGGGGACATTGAGACGGCATTAAACGACAAAGCTGTCGAATTTGAGAGCATCAATCGTTGTCGTAACAAGAGGGAAGGCGCTTTGCGAAAGATCAATATGCTCGTTAATTATCGTGGCGAAAATGAGGCGAATACATTGCGGAGCATTGCGATTAGTAAGATACACGCGACTGTGAATGTTAGATCGTTAAAACAAGAATTGGAATCGACGATTCCCTCGACCGATTTAATAAATTTTACGAATCTAAGGTAAGATCGAAGCTTTCGCGGAAGACGGAAAAAACGAAAGAAGGATAATCATCACGCAACTTCAGAAGAGGCTCGAGAATCTTTGGAACGATTTACGAAACGTTTTCTCTGATTACCGTAAAAGTATGGCACCAAATATTATTTTTACATTCCGTATGAATCTGAGTTCATCAATGTTTGTCAAGTACTTCATTCGCATTTGAATAAGGTACGGAGGATCGGCGAAAAGGCTACGATGTTATCAGAAGGAAAGACCAGATCGACCAACAAACGATCACCCGACAGTATCTACGTATTTCGAATCTTCTCGAGGATATTACGAAATTCCGAGAAAAGATTAACTGGTACAAAAGTGAAGCTACGGTTGAGTTACAAGAGATTATACGGGAAGCGAATTTCTTTCATAACGTTTACCGGGAGACGAATGAAAATTTCCTTGCTGGTACGTTATACTTCCAAGGGTGAACTACAGATTTATTACAACTGACCACCAAATTAGGTTGCAAAAAAGATAAACACAAAACATTGACGATGTCCAGGGAATATAATAATACCGCGAAATACTTGGAACACTTGACGAAGAAAGCTGAACGCATATTCGTTTACATGCAAATGTGCAGAAAGCACGAGACGCAAGATGAAAAGATACTTCCTATAGTCGACAACCATCCTGTGCAATTCCGGCCAGACAGTGATGATGATATTCAGCTTCAAACAGTTAGAATTCATTTTGCCGGTTTCTTACAATGTACACAAGTGCAAGTACGATAAAACTGCAATGAACCGTTTTAGGTAGTTAAAGATTTCGAAAATTCGGTTAACTTTTGGCGCCGGTTAGGTTTTGCTCAATTAATCACTAACGAAATTCGCATTCAACGAGACGAATTGTTGATGCAAGCGAATGATTTACGAAAAGCGTTGAAACTTCATCTTGACAGCGAAGCGAACTTGGCAATGTGTATCTAGAAGGATCAACCAGAGAGACTCGTATTAAAAATTGTCTTTATTATGTCACACATGTTGCGAGTTGACCATTGAGAACTACATGTTTATTTTTAGTGGTATATTTACGTACACAAACTCGTGAACATTAAATAGGAATGAGGAATATGTAATCAAAAAAGAAAGGATCGAGGAAAATTTGTGTACTTGTGCATTCTTGCATCACATATACATTGATCTTTGATCCTTAACGAATAAAATTCGTACGCAACAGTTCGTTACAAATGCAGACCCACAATTTAATGATGGAAAATAGTATTGCTGTCGCTCATACCGAACGAAATTTTCACTAATACCGAGAACAATAAACATTATTTAGTGATGACAACAAATTCGTACATCATTATCAATTAAACGATTTATTCGTTCTGACAACACCAGTCTTATCTTTCTCTGGCTTTCTTGTTGAATAACTTAGAAAAGTATAGCGTACTCAGCGTAATTTCTGTTTTTGCGCTATTTGTGATAACATTTTATTGCCTGCGAGGAATGTGACTATACCCAGCCCGAAAAGACATCGAAGAGTAACAAACATGTTCAGCTTCAGCCAGAAGATACCGAGAAGCACGAAGATACCTAAAAAAATACATGCATTGATTAAAAATTAGTTATTGACATCAAAGTACAAAATCTTAAAAATGTTGTGAAAAATGGGCTACAAATGTAATATATGCATTAATTACATTTGCGAAAATATCACGTCTTTCTCTTTGCCCAAGTAACAAAACAAATTATAATCAGCGACTATAATTTGTCTGGTATCGGGCATGCTATAACAAAGTTATGAATGAGATAAAAGATAAGATACTTACTTCCCAGTCCAAGGTGGAACGTGATAGCGCTAAGTGAAAATGGAAAGTTCGATATATTTACTCCGAGTCTTGCCCATAATACGAGTAATAAGAGAACTGGCGCCAAGCACAATCCGGTAAATAGGTTCGAGACGTAAACCGGTGGTCTTTTCTCAGGTTCACGGAACATGTGCTGTAAAATATCAACAAAAAAACCAATAAATTACCGCGCTAATGTTAACCACCACTTGGAAACATTTAGTAGAGATATGTCCGTCGAATGAAAACATTCTAAATAACATTTCATTTAGAAAAATAAAAATATACATTCAACAGGAATTTTATTCTCCCAATGTTAAGGAGGTGACAGAATCTTAGATAGACTGCTATCACTAACGAGCATTGGTGCACAGATATCAGTTACAAGATAACGTATAATATTGGTGTACTGTACCTTTATCTCTGGTTTCGTCGTATAAACGCTGGATTTATAAAGAACACCCTTATCTGCCCGGTCGGACGCGGGCGCCTCAGGGAATTTTAAAGCAATCGTCGCCAGTGTCCACTGGAAAGGATTGCTCAATACTGCATCGCCCACGATCAATTCTACATTATAGTCTCCGCTTTGGTAATCAAAATTCGCTGCTCCAGGTCCCACCGGCTGAAATATTGTAAATAAGGGAATAGGAGACTAAACATATTCCAAAATAAATTATACGAAGGACTTATGAAGAATATAATTACCATATCGAATCTATAAAGATACGACGCATCTGGTTCAGCGACGAAAATAATTTCACGTCCTTTTTTATCACCGTTCGAAGCAGACGCAGAAGAGAGCCGAACGAATGCTTGATGCGTACGTATAGGCTTTTTAGTAGCACCATCCTTAAGCAAAAATCGCATAACTACTTTCTGTTGGGAGTCAGCTTCGATCTTCTGCGATAATTTTTCCGGGAAAGTCACCCTACAAGTACACATGATACATGAAATGAGTTTTTACTGTACTATTGATTTGAAATTTAAATTTGAAATAATTTACCGTGTAAGCTTTGGCTGAGTGGTCTGATCAGCATCAGCGGTACCGATTTCCAAGTGATCAACCACTACTTCGGAAAGAACTTTTACCGTAACAGTATTAGTCACCGACCCCGCTGTAACTGTTATCTTATAAAATCCACGTTCCGGTTTTGTTTCCATGAAATTAAGAGTGAACAACGTTCTGAAATTGAATCATAGTTCATGAGACCACATCAAATGTAAGAAAATTTTGTTCGTTGAACTTCTTGATCTTTCTTACGATAGAAAAATCAAAGGGTTGTGTCAACAGTCAGTATAATTTACCCCAAGGTATAGCCGACTTCAACAAGAAGTTAAACTGAGTCGGTAAAGTATTGGGGAAAATCTGATTAAAAGTTTGACACTCACTTGTCCGTTGACGACGGCTGTAAAGTTTGTTTATTGAGTGCGGTAGCATCGTCCCCGACTCTCTCTGCTGCATTAGCGACCACTTTGAACGTGCTGGTTAATGGATTCCCCAGTATGTCGCAAACCTTTACTGTGACTAGAGGTTGTTGAGAAGAAATGCTGATTTCTCCATTAGCTAACGTTATGCACACTGGTTTCTCAAACTCGTTGTTTGCCAAAGTTGTTATAGCCGACAGCAAACTCGTAACACCTCTCAGCGTCTGCACTGAACGTCGAGATAGAAGATAATTCGCCATTTTAACTATTTGCTGAGACGTCAATGGTGGTCTCTTCTTGAGTGTGCTGGAAAGTTTAAAAATACCGTTCACTAGATGACCTAAAAATCACATAGAAATAGTATGTTAATTTCTCGTTGGTGTAGTCGATTGATAATGTCCACTTGAAGCGGAGTTGCCATGTACACTTACTAGTTACTGAGAGGCCACCTTCGAATTGTAAATATTGGCCGTTTATTTCGTCAGCCTGAACAATGGCGTCCTCGATGCGATCGAAGGCGAACATACCGCTTGTTCCAAGATCCGAGGCAATATGGAACGTATAGCCCAGGCTGCTCGTAAAAAATCCGATCAGTAAAAATTACAAGTTGGATTCATCAGTACTTCATTTCTGCTTGCAACGCTTTACGAACTTAAAATATCATCAAAGTAAATCGTACTTCCATAAACTGTCATCCTTTCGCAGTGCATTTTGTACTGTTTTTATGACTTTATCAATCCTATCACGTGATAACTTTTCAGATAGAACAGTTAGTCCTCTAACTGCGTAATACAATTCTGTCATACTGGAAGTCTCCTTCTCTACAACATTTGTGAGCACCTGTTTAAACAAAGAACTTTGTTTTTGTATCTTTGATGGAACAAATCTCAATCAACATTGATATAAGAATTTTATTTCAGTACATATAGTTCTCTTCAGTGGAAGTGCAGCAGAACGAAAGTTTTTGTAAGCATCATTATATTAAAGAAAATATTTAAAATAATATATCACAATTTTTCAAATATATATACCTTTATGACGTCAGGTGGAGGAGTGCTTTGACAATTTCCTAATGCCTGCCAAGTAGAAGCTACGTAGAAAGCTTTTTCTGCTGTGATATCATTGTCATCCTTTATAGCTTTTGTCAAAAAATCACAGATATCCTGTAAATTATAATATAAACTCTATTAAAGTATCAGTCAGGAGTTTTTTTTACTATTTTCCTAGGTACAAATTTTATTCAGTAAGACTAATCATAAGATCACTGTTTATCAATTATGGCTTATAATTCATCATATATTAGAGCATATTTCTGTAGAGAGATGAATAGGTAGCCATTATTCTTACCCGTTTGTTTGATAAGGTTTCTCCAAGAAACTTGTATCCAAGAACAGAATAATACACATTAGCCACATCACTGGAAGTTAAACCGGGTTCAAGTATCTTTTTTAAGTGAATTCTATCAGCTATCGTCAAATAGGAATTCGTTGACTGCAATATTTTTTCGGCCGAAAAACATAGTGCGACGATAAACAGGATCAACAGCAACAATCTAGAAAAAATACATCGATTTTTTATCGAATCAAAAAAGTGTGAATTTTGAATTAGTTGAAATGTACAGATATTTAGCCAACAGATCGATTAGAATGTACATTAAAATCCAAGAATCAAGAAGATAAATGTGGCGAGTAGAGAGCATGAAAACAACCGGTTCTACTGTTTGAGAAATTGTATTGCACAAAGACATCAATATCCGTGAACGCTCATATGTGATATATAAAGAAAATTTATAAAGAAGAGAAATAAAATGGAATTAAACTCACGGAAAATCACTGTGATGAGAACGCCGGCTACGACGTTGCTCTACGAGAATATATCGTACCTTACCCATCGCGCGTGTACCGAAAAATGGACGATTCTCCGTTCCGGAAGTAGTTGGCACCGTTGGCACGTTGGCACGGCAAAACGAAAACGTGTGTTGAACAGAAGATAGAGAGCGCGCGTGCGTCTAAATTTAACGAATACTGCAGGGATTCGAACAGTTCCCCTAAAATCCTGTATTGGTATCTGTGTATATTCTACAATTATACCGTAACTCGAATTCAATTATTACAAACACCATAACATGGTAAAGTGCACGAATTCAAATCGAAAACATGCTTCATTGGCAATGAGGACGTTCTTATTGTGCATGTTGATTGTCTAGGTATAACTATAGGACGAATAATTGTATTATTATAATTAAGTAATTTTGAATAAGAGGAAAACGAAATGTAAAAATAAGCGACGAGTACACAACTGCATAAGGTTTGTATATTTTGTACAGATTAAACAGGATTAAAAAACGGAAGGATTTTTTTTAATTAATTCTATGCTAAGCTAATTGATTGTAGCAATAATAGTAACATTAACGATGGTGACAATAATGTCAGTGTACAATAATCATTATTATGTCATACTACTGGTAAATGTATATAAAACTTAAAATTACATATTAAACGAATATATAATTAAAGATTTGTAGGACATATAGCTTGTCTACGAAAACAGCGTTACCTTATTTTGTGCAGTACTTAATTAAGATTCGTTGAAAAAACATTGAACATTTCTCGAGGTTATACTTTGATTAAAATGTTTCTTCTTTTTGATATATATACATCATTGTTCCGTGTTTAAGTGCGTATCGATCAAAGCAAACTTATGTTTCAACAACGTGTCATAAAATAAAATGAGTTGTTACTTATATATGATCGTCAGGTAGGTTTTCATTCTAACGAGTGTTGTTTCGATAAAGTAGCCATGACGATAGAAAAACTGAAATTCAACAGAGACTAGGGATGGCGCAACAATGATGGTGGTCGTAGCAGTGTCGTAGTTCGTATTGTATATACAAAACAGAAAAAAGGCAGGGTGAGGTGAGATCCATTTTCTTCATTTTTTCCATTAGTTTTCTCGCGACACTCTCGCGGCATCAAAAGAAAAAAAGCGTTACGTGTGCAGAACTCGATACCTTAGACTTGGACAGTTTAAAGGTACGATCTGTCAAAGAATCTCGAAAGATTACACCGTTGCATGAACGTTTAATTTCTCGAAAGAATCGTTACAAACCTATTTTTTGTAAATGTATTGTGTTGTATTCACGAAGCTATATCAGAAAGGTGCACGGCATACTACCGCACACATATGTGCTGGAGAAATAAAGTTATTGGTCGTTCGCGCGCATAGATCCTTATAGCTAAACTTATAATATATACACTGACAGCGCGTACGCATGTAACACGTGTGCGCCACATTACATAATCCCCTGCCGAGCAGATTTAAACAATATATTACAGCATACTTTTTTTCAGTAAGACTATGTACACGTAGCGTACGGTTCGAAGAACATTCGCGTTGTCTTTGTATTTACAACTACATTTGACATTCCCCAATTTCCGACAATAATTTTCCATCGACATCTTGCAATTTTGGCCCTTTTTCTCTTGTGATACTACACATGTACTCAACTCGCGCACAATATACATACATATATTCATACATACACAGTGTTTTTAGGATGAAACGTCGACGAGAAACGGACCGTTCTTTATGTATCAAATAACGATGAACTAAAACTACCAAAAGACTTTTGACTTGGTATGAAAATATAACGCGCGGAAATGGGTAATTTCTTTGTTCTGTCTTCTCTCCCAGTGTAGTGACATCGCTAAAGATTTTAATATAAAACGGACGATCACGTTTTTGTTTTCTTTAAACCAAAACAGCTATTCAATGTTTCATCATTTCATTGTTCGAGCACAACTAGTTGTCCGATTCCGAAGGACCCAAACCCCATCTTGACTTCAGTCTCGGATTTTTGTTTGGTGGAGTAGTAGGTGCAACACCCTCGTCGTTAACCTTTCGTTTCACGCTTAACACTATACCACTCTTTGGAGCGAATTTCGAACTTTGAGAAGCGATCGTTTTCGACACGTTATTTTCAATATTCGGCGGTGTACATGGGAATGGTGGGAAGTCCTCGTCTTCGAGACCTGGTGGTTTCGGCTGTTCAGGTGCGATGTTGCGTTTGAACGGTTCCGGGAAGGGATTTTTATAGGAAGTCGTCTCGTGGCAGGAAACATCCGTCACAGAAGGTAAGCCTGAAAGATTTCCAGGTACCGTTTGGATTAATGACGGCGGAGGAGTCCCTATGATTGTCGGAAGAGCTGTTGCCCCGGTTAAACTCGTCGATGCAGGTTTTTCAGTAGTTGCTGCTGCAGCGGAAGCGGCTGCGACCGCCGCCAATTCCTCTTCCGCTTTTCTTATTAGATCCAAGTCGCTCAATGAACTTAAAGTGCTTTTACTTTCTTTCTCCTTTTGAGTGGATTCTCGATGAGTAGATGTTTCCATCGGAGCTCTCTCGGGAGTGGCAGGTTTATTAAAACCGCCTACCAAATGTTTCGCGGTGGATGAAGAGGAGTAGACAGTGGGTAAGAATGTGGCGCTAGGCCTGGATGGTAGGTACGGATCTACTTTTGAACTTTCTTGTCGTTTTACGTTGGCTAAAATTTCTTGCAAATTCGGCGGTATCGTTATGTTCGATACCTTTTCGAGAATCGGTTGAGTGAACTTTGAAATACCGGGTGGCGGCGGTGTAAACGACCTCGTATCCGAAGGACTATAAGCCTCTTCGCAATTATCGTCATCTGGTGGATCCAGCCCTAAGCCCTAAAATAAACACAAATAGGAATAATGGTAAGCAATAGTCTCCAAGCCATATGCATTTAAAATGGGGAGGTATTAGGAAAAATGGAAGGAACCAGAGCTACTAATAGACTTTTACCTCTCGTTTAATATCCTATGACGGTAATAATGTTTTACCTTTATAAAACAACGAGAACGATGAAATACGTCGTAAGAGACTCGTGTAATAGAACGCAGATGTTTTAGAGCAAATGTAATCGTATTTATGTCGATATTCATGTATACAGATGTAAAATTACAATCTATATTTGTATTTATTTGAAATTGACATACGCAAGAAGTAAAACTCTGAGCAGCTCGAGGATAGGAAGGGGATAAGGCGGGTAACTTGAAATTAATTTTATTTACAATAGGGCTGAAGGAGAAACAATAACATTTGATTCTATAAAAAATAAATCTTGATAAAGTTCTCACCGGCAAAGTAGTTGTTGATTCGCCGAGGAACGACGAACTAATACTCTGTATCTGTTGTTTTTGTTCTTCGATTTGCCTATTTAATTCATCCATCTTCCGTTGAAGTTCGGTAGAATTTTTACTGGAAGAAATGATACTATTATCGAGCGCAGTACCGTCGATTGAGCCGGATATCGATGGTATCGTCGTTGCCAGTGCGTTCTCCTCGTCCATCTCACCAGGGCTGTAAGGTTCATCGCCGTCGTCCTCAGCTGGTTTACCGGGCGAAGAAGTAAGATCGATCTTTGAAGACAATTCAGGAACTATCTTGCATATAGCTGCAGTATCGAGGAGCGAGTTCCTGGACATTCCTATATGCGCCCTGTTCAAACTATCGAGAGTCGTTTGCGTAACTGGATGTTGCTTCTCTTTAGACAATTCGATGGTACCGCTACTTCCTGCTTTGTGATATGTACTCGTTGCGGTTCCTGAAGAAGAAGAAGAGGCAATCGTTGGCGTAGTTATTGATGTAGCTGCAATTGTACCAAGTATCGTGTTCGATTTCGAGACAGACACCAGAGGCGGCGTATAACTTCGATCATCCTTTTTCGATAATTTTAATGATACGGTAGAAGGGGGTGGTATACCGGCAAGCCGTTTCCTCTTGTTACGAACGATGATCCCTAGAAGAAGATGCGGCCTGTGCTCTTCGAAGCCAGGACCATTCAGAGGCAGGAGAACTTGAGGTAGCGTGCTCTGATTCGAAAACGGCATGATATAAAAATCTTTTATGTTCTTCGAGACGTTTCCGACTACTCCGAGTCGGCTTCTACTATTAAGATAACTGTACAAAGTTATGTACGGAATTTTCTCTTCGTCATTCGCCGCAGTAAGTCGGATCACCAAAATCTCCTTCGAACCAGTTTTCTTCATCTTTGAAATATAGTCCCATACCGTTTCGTGACTTATTCTACCTACGACGTCAACCGTATCCGGCAGATCGTCCATTAGATCTTTCGCCTGGCCGCTGACTTCTTGCGCGGTGATGAAAAATTTGGCAACATCGACCATGTTGACGAAACCCCTCCAAACAGTTTGCCATCCTCCCTTCGAGGCTTCACCATCGACAGTCACCGGTTCTGGGTCTCTTTCTCTTTCGGTATCTTCGTTAATGTCCGGTGTCTTGATTGTAACCGTGGAAGATGGTTCTCTGTCTGACACGTCAGAATCATTACCGTCGATGGTATTAGTCGTTGCCTCGTCTTCGACATGTCGCCATAGACGATCATCGATAGACTTGTCCGTCGATTTTTCTGCCACCATTGAATTTTCATCTTTCTTTTCAATATCCCTCTTCCTATCCTCTTCTTTCTTTTCACTATCCTTCGATTCGCTACGATTTCTTACACTATTCTCGTTTCTATGCCGATCTTTTTCCCTTTCTCTGTCTCTATCTTTCTGTTTCTTTTCTCTGCTTCTACTTTCGTGAGTCTTGGATTTATCCCGATCTCTGGTCCTGGATCGATCTGGACCTCTGTCCCGATCCCTATCACGATCTTTTTCTCTTTCACGTTTGCTTTCTTTATCACGAGATTTCCTTTCTCTGCTCTTTTCTCTAGTTTTACTATGCTCTCTATCATCTCTGCCACGTTTGTGTTTATTTCTACTGGTACTTTTATCCCGCCCATCATTCGTTTTTGACCGACTCCCATCTTTCATTTTCCCTCTGTCCTTTTCTCTGCCCCTATCCTTTTCTCTACCCCTATCCCTTTCTTTGTCTTTTTTTCTCTCATCATCTGAACCTTTGGATTTTTTCGTGTCTTCTTTTAATTTCAATCTATCCTCATCGTTCATCTTATTAGGATCCTTCTCGTCGTCTACAGTCGACGATATACTCTCAGCACTATTCAATGCCGTCACGATATCTTGTACCGGCGTTTTTGGATCTACGTGATCAATGCCACCGTCGTTTTCGATTATTTGCTCGCCTTTGTGCGTCTTAACAACAATAGACTTGGCTTGGGCCATTAAATCCAACTCGTTCTTTTTGATCATTTCCAATTGATGCTTTGTTTCTTTCTCTCGCCATTCGGCCAATTCCTGGCTCGCCATTTCGTCAGGACTCAGTCTTACGACCGCGTCTGGCGTCAATGATCTATCGGCAATTTTCCTAAACAATGTTAAGTTCTTTGTGTCTTTTATGTTGAATACGAGACTTCTGTACTTGGCTTTGTATTTCGCACCGGTGTCCTTAAAATATTTGTACATTTCCAACTCTATGTTGAAAGCTAGTTCGGCTATTTCTTCGTCAGTAAGCTTCAGATCATCGGTTTCCTTTATACGGCTGGATAATAGTTCTGTCAAAGTTTTCCGTATGTTCAATCTTATCGGCTCGGGTTCGGGTTTCTTCGGCAGAGTCGGTTTCACCTGTGGTTGTTGTTGCTGTTTTGATTGCACGGTTACCTGTTTTAATTCTTGTTTCTTCATCGGCGGTGTCACTTTCGGTGAAGCTACACTAACCTGTTGCTTCGCCTGTGGAGTAACCACTTTCGCTGTTGCTGTTTTGAATATTAAAGGACTCTTATTTGACTGGGCCAATATTGTTTGCTTCATCTGCACCGTTTTCGTGCTTGACGGTTGTTGCTGCTGTCCAGTAGAAATTACCGTAAACTTTTTATTTCCCGCCGTTAAAATCATTTGCTTAGAAGCCGGTACTTTTGTGTAGGTCAGTTTTGGAAGATTCTGCCCTTTGACGGGTGACGGAGACTTTCCCTTGAAGCACATTTTTTAAATGTTTATATCATGTAACAATAAAAAGCTGTGTACAAAGTACGGATAGCAATCGAACGATTTGAGATGAAACATATATGTACACTTACTGCTTTACTAGGTGTTTGTGCTTGAACTGGCAGAATCTTCCCTAATTGCAACGAACTAACGTTACTTGTTCCAACGACTTCGAACGTAGGATGTTCCTTTAACCACGTACGTAAATTTGATCTTGTCGGCGCGTCAGTACCTTGAAAGAAAACAAAGAAAAAAGAAAAGAAAGGGAGGACGGAAATGATAACGGCATACGTGCCAAATAAGAACGAGGAACAGAATAAAACTGCATGCCTGAATATATCACAGAAATTCGTCAACTTACCAGTCAACACTCTTCCCGTTCTACGCTCGAAAACAATAACCCTAGCATCGGGTTTCGGCTTTGAGATAGGATCGGACGGTGATGATTTCGCTCCTTTCGGGCTGGCTGTTGATCCAGGCATTGGTTTATCTTTGGTCAATGTTTCTTGAGCATGCGCGAGTATACACGCATCGGAACAATAAATGCTCGAGTTTCTCGCTTCCTTTTTACATACGACGCATTGCATACCGGTTGAATATTGAGCAGAGCCATTATCAGACTGAATCAGAGATGTTGCTGTTTCGTCGCCAAATGAAGTCTGAACTGAATCAAGATTTTTTGAATGGTCGCTGTCAGATTGAATTCCTTGATTCCCAGGCGTAGTCTGTGTCACGTTCAATTTAGCTTTCGCCTCTTCCTCTTTCTTCTTTGTGCAATTCGGACAAACCCATTCTATTCCCTTCTCCTCCATTTGTTGCCCTGAGAGGAAACAAAAATTAAATATTCACATTCGTTCATAAATGGTAGTTGTCGAACAATTTGCCTTACCCATTGCTTTGCTAACGTGCACGCATTTGCCGTGGAACCAATCTTCGCATACATCGCAACAAATCATGAAACGATTATTGTGCGGTCGTTTGCATATACACCACAGCCTATCAGGATCGTCTTCCGAATCCGAATTCTCCTCCTCCTCTTCTTCATCGTCATCGTCTTCATTCTCAATTTGTTTTTTATTCTTCTCTTCCGTTTCATCTTCTCCAACCTCCTCATTCACACCTTCTCTAATTCGAATTTTAGTTTCATTTCTCTCATTTTGAATCGTATTCGTGAAAGTTTCATGTTTCACAGATTGCAACGGTTTCTGATTAACGGTTTGTATGTTGTAACCTGGTTTCTCCGTTCGTTTCACAGGCTCAGTTTTTACTTGTAAACGCTTGCTCCTAGTAGCCGGCGCTTCGATAGGAGGTAACGTGATCACACGACCACCGCGAATAATTTGAATGGGTTCTTTGTCATCTTTCGCAGATTTTTTAGGTGTTTCTTTAGCGGATTGAAGTGTCGTTGCGATCGAAGCTGTCGCTGCAACTGTTGTCGCTACAACTGTTGTCGCCGCAACCGTTGTCGCCGCAATCGGTGTCGCCGCAATCGGTGTCGCCGCAATCGGTGTCGCCGCAACCGATGTCACTGCAACCGATGTCGGCGCAACCGATGTCGTCACAACTGATATCGCCGCACTTGGTATTGTCTCAACCTGTATTACCGTAACCGGTGTCGCAGCAACCGATGTCGCCGCAACCGGTGTCGCTGTAACCGTTGTCGCCGCAACCGTTGTCACCGCAACCGTTGTTGTACTTGTCGACATAGCTGTTGCAATTATTGCTGCAGAAGCATCCAGTTCTTTAGTAACTTCTTGCTCAGATGTGATCAAAGAAGGAATGATCATAGTACTTGATGAAGCTAATGCTTCTGATGTCGTTACAGTCGCTCCTCCTTGTTCAACAAGCGTAGGATTTTCAACCAAGTCAACACCGAGTTCCTCTTGTAATAATAATGCTTCAGCCAGTAATTCTTCTTCGTGTTTACTAGCCTCCATTTCCAACGTAGCTAATAAATGTTCTTCTCCTTCTATGCCTGCCGAATCTAAAGCAGGCGTTAAATCTTCCGATACATTAGGTTTAACGCCTGGATTAGATTCTACTTCGTTGTTCCGTACTGGTTGTTCGTTCTTTTCTTGCTTGTCCGTGACAGGAGTTTCAGGTAGTCCTTCTGTAATTTGTTCAGAAGGCGTAGGCGTGGATATGACCGCAGGGCGACTAGGTGTTCCAGAAGATGTCGACGGCATTACCTGCATAACGGGAGTCGTACTCACGGTGGAAGCGGCGACTGTAGGCGGTGTTGTAGAAATTAATGACGTCACCACATTTTCTTGACCCTTCGAATCACCATTTGAGCCAACGCGTCGAATAATATCTGGAGTTGAGAAAAGAGCAGGGCCCAGTGAATCTACCATGTACGCTGGAGATTTACGATTATCCTTCTTGGGATGCTTTTTCGAGGGATCGACAACTTTATTCTCTGGTGTTTTGACAGGTTCGACTTTTGTTTTCGTAATAACAGTTTCTATATTTTCGTTCTTTGTTTTTTCTTTCTTCAAATCGTATGTTTGTATCTTGGATACAACGGTAGGCGACGTCACTTTCGCTGGTTGTTGTGGTTGTACGTTTACTGTTTCATTCTGCACAACAGCAGATGTTTGTGTTGGACATACTTGTGGTACTGGGCTTTTTATCGGTGTGACGTTTGTCGTAACGGTTTTCGTGGTGACAGGTATCTGAACCAATTTACCATCCTTGGTTGCGAAGAATTTGGTTCCGGGTTGACCCAAAAATTTCCCTTTAGGTATAATCAACGGCTTCTTTACGTCGACACCTTTGAGATCGTTTGGTTTCACAAGTACTTGCTTTTGCACAAAAGTAACCTTTTGATTAATATTTCTTCCCTGTCCAGGTTTCGTAAGGATCATATCACCCTTGATCATATTAGCATTAATTAGGTTGGCTTTAACCTGATTCGTAGTTTGTAACGGTTTTTCAAAATTAGGAGACACGTCTTCGTTCGTCGATGGTGATTCGATCCGTTCTTCTTTCTTCCGCCCAACAGGAGTCTTAAACTGTCTCCTACCTCTGATGACAGTAAATCCTCCTAATCAAAATACAAACGAAATAACATTTTTTTTTTTTATATGTTTACAATATTGTAGTCAAAATGCAGTGTACTATTCTCTTACCTGACTTGTCTTCTTTTTCTGGAGTCTTCATGGCATTCACAGCAGCAGCCATTTCCATATCCAATCGACGGACTTGTTCCATATCCATATATTTGTTGGAACCTCTCCTACGAGTGGCTGCCATGCTTCCTCCTCTTGTGGTAAGACCTTTCCTACCACCTCTTGCTCGTATACCGCCTCTTCTAGGGCCTCGCGGACCAAAATCTGAATCGTTGTCGGACGGCTCCGACTCCGACGATTCAGTGGATGTTGTTAACTCTTCTTCATCTTCCTCGTTAGATCTTCCTGGATCTAATGAAAGCCCCAAAAAAAAACAGCATACAATTGTCATAATCAGTAGTGTCATATTTAATAAGACAGGACAATTACGTTTTCCAATACCATGTTGCATCACATCTGTCAAATTCCTGGAGACTGGATGTCCAACAGCTTTAGGCGTGTTTGTTATATTCACGGACGATCTTGAATTGTTACAAACGGAAATAGGCGTCGGAGGAATATTCTTTCGCGGTCGACCCACTGGTTTGCTCTGAAGCAATTATCGACGATTGATTGCCTAAGTTTGTACTATGTAAGAACTTTGTTATATTGTGCTTACAGTTTTAATGATTGGTTTTGGTTGCATCTTTGCCAAAAACATATTCTCAGTGTCAGTAGGGGATGCTGTTTTAGATGTCCCAGGAGCAGGCGAATATCGAGGTGCATAATGTAAACCATCGTCAGAGGTTGGTGAATCGATTACAGGCAAAGGATCTTTTGGTTTAGGATCAGAAGGTGACAATCTGCTCGTGTAACAATGGTCCAATTTAACGCTGTATCTGATAGAATTCTGTTGTTCCTCTACTGTTAACATATCTGGAAAATACCAGAATATCATGTACTTTTCTTCACGAAATACGATGACCATTATCATTTTCATTAAAAATAAGATGATTGTACCAAGCATAGCTGTAACATTTTCTCCAAGAATTTGCTTAGCCTCTTCACTTTGCAGAGCAGTTTCCAATCGTTCCAATTGTTCTGGGTCCATTTCCATGAAAGGATCAACTAAACTGGTTGCATCAGTGCCTCCAGAATTCACTGTGGCAGGTGGAAAAGCAGGAGGATCTACAGTTAATGTAATATCTCCATTTTCAATATCTGTATCTGCCTGTCCAACTCTAACAACGCTGACATTTGCATTGGACTGATTCACTAAAAAATCATGATTATGCAAATGATTCGATAAATTCAACACTGACACCATTGATCAAAGTTAAAGAATATAACTTACTAATCAAACTTTGCAAAGTTTCTTGATCAACAGATAATGAACCATCATCATTGACAATAATGATCAATGTATCATCTTTCTTTTCCATTCCACTCTCTTGTGGTTCGACAATGTACGAGCTAGACATTTTCCCTAACCTAATATACACGTCGCGTTATTCGATTTTAATGGTGCTGCCGTATCAAAAATGATACGTAGGTTTTATCCGTCTTGCGAATTAATCGTGTCCGAAAGAAAGGAAGATCATGAATACCCTTGAAAGGGAGACGCGGAGTTTGTACGAGCATCGAGAGCACCAGTACAAATAAACAAGAATCATCCGAGTTATCAGCCACGTTCCTGGTTACATGGAAGACGGGTTTCCCTTTTTATGAACCGGCCAGGACATTAAAACCGTGGTCAGTTTTCAACATTTGCCGTCGAGACGATGGGAAATTATCGAAAACTAAAGGGAAACTGGTGTATGGCAAAAAACAGCGATACACAGTATATGTATATCGTTCGCGTTTGTCACGTTACTACCTATTTTATGGGTACACTCTTACAGGCTTTAAAGATGATAAACAGCACGCTAATCTTTCTAATGATATCTACTTAAACCGACGTTCGTCGGTGGTAAAGAAGCGAGATACGCGTAACACGTTTAATATATCACACTTTATAAGAAGCATAATGTTCACGGCCAGGTAAACAGTACCGCCAAGAAGAGAATAGTCGCCATTTTGTTTGAGTCAGCCAAGTAACGTTTCCAAAAGTCTTCGGTCATCTGATGTTGTTTCACTGTTATTAACTTGTATGAAAGGTGGATTATTCGTACGAGACTCGATCCACTGGACTTTCATAAAAGTAAGATAACTACCGGGAGAATATTCAACTTCTTTTCAACGATACATGATGTTACGAATGCACTTCGACTTGTCTGCACACACTGAGACGCTGCGCGCTTCTTGTTGCGCAACAGCAACAAGAAGAAGCCAGTGGCGCTATAAAGCGTTAACACAGTTGCTGCGGCCAATTCTATATTCTACATACGAAACAGCTGCATAAGTTTTTTCAATTACATGTCTAATAATGTATATAGTATACACAGTTGTACACTTGTTCATATCGTTAAAAAATACAACAACGTGAAATAATGCGCATGAAATAAATACGAAGGGATTTTGCATATATTCGACCTCAAAGATATTTGGTATATATAGGAATACTAACTTCATCTTAATAATATTTAAACATGTGTATTTGACCATAGTTCATTGTAATGAAAAATGAAATTATTTTTGAAATTTCAAGCATATATATTCATCAAACTGCCGGGTGGGCCAATTTGGTGCTTCATTTTTTATACTCTTACAAATTATCCCCTCTTACTGTTTAATTATAATATACTTATATTTGATAAACCGTAAACTTAACGATACCGCAAACCTAATGATAACCATTTTTCTTAACACATATACATACATGCATGGAATGTACGTTATTTAGAATAGTGAGAGTAATGTAGTAGAATGAATCACCGTGAGTTGCGCGCGCATGGAGATACGGCTGTTCGCACTAGTTCGCAGTTTTCTACGCGTTGCGAGAGTTACAAGTTCGCGTTGTGCGTTAGATCTTGAAGTGTTTAAAGGATTGTGTAAATGTTGACATACATTCTGCAGCTGTATCGAGACACATCATTCTACATTGATTGGATAGCGAGGAAAATATTTTGATATCGCTTTGAATGCACGATACACTGCATCATTCAAGACGAATCACTAATTTCTTAAATACATTTTCGGTGAGTCCTCTATAAATAGAAAACGGTTCCCGTGTGAACCAATAGTGAGATTAAATTGTGATATTAATGTACGTGCAATCTGTATCGTCGTAAGCACTTTCACAGTACTAGAAAACATTTGTTTTAAAGTATGTTACACTTGTGTACGTCGCGAAAGCATTCAGGTTTTGCATTAGATTTGTGCATATATTCAGATAATGTATCTACATATGTATGTACATACATAAATTCAGTGAACATTTTATATTTCCATTCGGATTGATGATCGAGATCAGATTCCTTACTCGTATCGTGTTCACGCCTTGCTTTTGTCTTGTAAAATAAAAAAGTAAGGAAGATAACAGAATTTTTCTGAATTTTTTACTCTATAATCCTCTAGATAATTTTACACTATATCATTGATAACATCTGAAAGTTAAATCGGTGAAAAATGGGCAAGTTTAAGATATATCGCGGATAGCGTTAACTAGAGGATCGGTTGTAAGTCGTATTGTAATAACATGTTGAGCGTGTTGCGCTTTAGCGTCGATCCGACCGCGAGAAAAAATTGAAATCGATGGGGGTAAAAGAGATAGTGAACACATGCTTGAAATAAGACCCAACTGAGAAGGACTCTAAATATCCTTCGGCAGGAGGGAAATTATTTATAGCCGATGCATACCATCGTAGACTGTAGTTTTCAAGATTCTGTGTAGAAGCTCTCTTAAGTGCAGATTTTGTAAGCTTGCTTCTTATTTTTAGTAAAACAATGGAGGGTGAACAACGACATTATGATTTAAGGACTGGAAGTAGATCAAGATCTAGAACTCCCTTGGTACAAAATCGTACCTTAATCGAATCAGAGATTTCGGAACATCATTATGATTTGAGAAGTCATAGTCGGGAGAGGTCTCATACACCAGGAGAAGTTACAAGTAGAAAATTTGTTTCGAAAGTTCAGTAAGTGATAATAAATTCTGATTATCTATAGGATGATGTTCTGATGTATACATGTGATCGTATAATATATTTGTTGCCATAGAGCTAGCACTAGTAGTAAGACACATGACCAAAGTAAGGAGACAATAGTTGAGAGTATACAAGATAATTCGGTTGAGTCTATATCTGAAAATGCAAAGAAAATAACTGAGAATGTTAGCACAAGAAAAGGGGAACGCAGATCCGAAAGGCAAAGAGCAAAGAGACAAGTGCATGCCAATGGCCAAAGTGAAAAAAAAGAAGACATGCGACAGCGTAAAATTTTTAAAGTTCGTAAGAATACAAGTGACTATTCTTCGGACGAAGGTGAAAGAGACGATTCCTCTAGCAGACCCTGTTCTGCACATGAAATTTATAAACAAGCTGGCGATTGGTGGAAGTAAGCATCAGTACTTTGTAAATAATAATTTGTTTCCCAAGATGTTTTCTATCCATTTCACATTTCGTATTACAGTGTATTTCCAAAAACAGATTATACTTATTCAGAAAGATCTCAGTGTCGTTACGAAATAGCGCCAGGTATATTAGCAATGCCTAACATGTCACGACCTTCTATTCATTCGAATTCTCAACCATTTTCATGTGACACATTCGATAGCGGTATGTCTGAAACAACGGATTTCGTCACTGCAAAAGGAACAACAACAGATGAAGGTGTGGTAAGTATAATAGACATAAGTTAGACTAATTAACGGATAATCTATATGAGTCCACTAATTTATAGTCCGCTTCTGAATTTCCTGGACATATGTCGAGTTCGGATAGAAAGTCATCACTCCAATGTACAAAGACTCATAAAGAACAATATCGTTCTTACAGAGAAGTTATTTATACAGAACCAAAAATTGTGTCTGAATCAAGGTTTGTTATTTCGTAAAAATTTGCACATACGACAAATGTATAAGTATATATAGGGTGTATATATAGGGTAATGGTAATATGTTTTTTTTATTTAGGCAATCGGTACCTTATACTCATACGCCATTCAGACGTATCGACTCCCGGCAACGCGATGTTACATCTTTTATTGACTCTGACACCGAATTAGATGAAGCAATTCCAAGTAGTCTCATTAGAAGAAGTAAAATAATTGAACGATTTACAAGTTTTATCTCAGTGATCGTTTCATGGTTTAGCAAACTTCTTGTATTTCTGAGACTTGAAACAATTGAGAAACGAGAATACCGTCCTACGTACGAATATCAAAGAAATGGTATTGTTAAATTATTAGAAATCGAGTCGCGCTAATCGTTTTCTTCAACATACAAACTTTTTTCAGTTGCCGAATCTAAATTGTCTAGAGTTTGGAAGATTATCGATCGGTCCTTTGCGTACGTTTATTTCTTTCTGGTCAAAGTACTCTTATTTGATACGTGGTTATTGAGCTGTGGATCCAATGCTAGAGCACGGATTCGTAAAACAAGCTGGAGAGTTCTTTGGATCGTCTTGCTACCGTTACTTCTCATTCTTGGTAATTATTCGCAATCGTTAAATAACATAACATAACAAATTCGCCAATTTAGAAATCCGTGTCTTTGTGTCAATATTCTTCCGTTTTTCTTATTTTTTAAAAGTAGTCTATAGTTACATCACAGCAAGATCGAGTTTTTGACGTGACATGCCTGCAAAGACCGGTGAAACCTATCCTGGCGTTTGCTTTTCTTTTTGTTTCAGGAATTTACACTGTGCAAAAACAATCCTTTATCCATCTGGATTCTCTGCAAAATATTCCTCACGATGTCACTGAGACGAGCTATCGCATCTTTAATGATATTGTCAATTTAACGTCTCGTCAAAGCGATTTGTTTATTGAATATATAAAAACGCTGAAAAATTTGTCAGTACACTTTTTGCCCGGCGTGAACGTGTCTTTACCAAAGATACCTTAGCATTGATTGAAAATTTTATGAAAACATGGACATAATGATTTTTTGTTTCTTTTAAATTTTTGCTTGTTTTGTGCTTGCCATTTCCTCATTTATTTTATACACATGTATTTTATATATGAGGGTATTTAATTAACCCCTTAAGCTACGATTTAAGTTCAAACAGCCTGGGACCAAAATGTAAACAAGGTCGCCGAGCATTCGAGGACAATACACCACGGGCCAGGCTCGTGATAATCAGTTTTGGCCCTAATATCCGACCATGAGTCTCACACGTAGTTGTAGCTTAAGGGGTTAAATTTGCTTTTTATATTGTTTCCTGTGCATATAATATTATATATATCTATACATGCACATATATGTTATATTTATGTTGCGATATTTTATACTATTTATCTTCTGTTATGCTTTGCAGTAGCTTTAGTCATGGTTTCTCTACGTTATTAACCATTAATAAATTTTTAGCTTATATGTGCGTGGTCTTTGGAAAAAACAATAAATGTCATAATCGATGCTAAGTGGTACTGTCGTGTTGTTTTCCGTATAATTTATAAAAGAGGTATATTTTATCGCTAATTTTGATTCTTAATGGTGCATACGTATGAGTCAAGCGTAATAACACTTGTACCTATAATGGTATATTTGTAAGAACACGTTCACACACTGTTCGAAGCAGCAGTAGAAATGTTCACAGTAGTTTGTTATTGGTACTGTTATAATGCTATGTATGTTATTATAAAACAAAATTTTACTCTATCAATGAAGTTGAATAAATGGTTATATCAAAAGACGGGAGAAGGATAGGGGAAGTAGGATTACTAGACTGGCTATATAAAATTGGAGCATTCGCGCTTCGCAAGGAGTACGGACGTAATATCTCTGTAAACTTGATGTCATCGGAACGGTGAGTCCCTTCGTCTATCCTTCTCTCGGTAGTTTTATCAAGTTACAAGATCAGCAAAACTTGAAGAGAGTTACATTTTCACATTTCAGGGTATTGGTGTTTGCCATATTTTCCGATGTTGTTATATTCAACCAAAGTAATTGCGCGTCAATTTAGGGAGACATCGGATTTGACTGCCAACAATCAATTGATTTCAAGGGAAATGATGTTTGGCAAGGATATATTTGAGTCATTTGGGATCAGTAACTTGGATCAAACTGTTGAACAGTCTGTAAGAAGTGTTTTTTAGTTTTAATATAGATATACTTTCTTAATGAGATTCGGGTGCATTTAAAATATTTGATACATATAGGGTCAGCATTTTAATGAAAGTGAAATGCTTGAGCAGCTAAAGGAAAGCGAACGTGTGTTATCTAATATTCACACTGAAGAAATGGACATAATTAAATTGCAGCTTAAAAAGTTGAGAGAACTTTACTCGGAACTGAAGTTGTGCTGCAATGCGCGTACAAAGTACATTACTAATGAAGATTTAGAAATGCGATTGAATATGTTCTTAAGTGATTATCTTAGTACGTCTGTGACAAATGAAGCGAAAGGTATACGAAATATACTTACCGCAACAAACGTTCAGCGATGCGTGAGAAATAATTTTTCTGTACAGTTCGAAGCGAATCATCGATCGCTATGGATTATGGAATAACGGATGATCGTGTGCGTGCGATAGTCAGAGAAGCCTTAAAAATATACGACGCCGATAAAACGGGACGTGTCGATTACGCGTTAGAGTCGGCTGGTAAAGTCCTACCGTATCAATTAGTCTAATAATAAGTTTTTCAATCGCATAAAACTTTGCTAATTCTTTTTTAAATAGGTGGGCAAATTGTTAGTACACGTTGTACGCAACGGTACGATATAAAAACTAGGGCATTCAAATTGTTGGCTTTTACGCTTTACCATGAAAATAATAATCCACGTACAGTGATACAAGGAAATCCAATACAACCAGGCACTTGCTGGGCATTCCAAGGCTTTCCAGGATATCTTTTAATCAAGTTACGTAGTTCTATTTATATTACTGGGTTCACGCTTGAGCACGCACCAAAGTCGATTTTACCTAACGGAGAAATGAGAAGTGCCCCGAAAAAATTCAATGTCTGGGTAAATATCGTATATCCATTTATTTTTCATACATAGTACGCAACTTAGTTTGAAATTTTATCGTGTGCTATGCAGGGTTTCCTCGATGAAAATGATCTGGAACCTGTGATGTTCGGAGACTACGAGTTTGCAGCTTCTGACGATAGTTTACAATACTTTCCTGTTCAAGTAAGTCAAATTTTTCACGTGATTGTATTAAATCGTTTCAAGTATGATAATTAATAATTATTTTGACGCAGAACATAACAATCGATAGACCGTATGAATACGTGGAATTAAGGATACATAGTAATCATGGACAACTTGAATATACGTGTTTATATAGATTTCGCGTTCACGGGCGACCAATGTGATTATTTTCTCATCAAAGTGCGAGAGTGTCTCAGACATTATGAGTTATTGTGGACAGTGTTCAGCGTAGCTCCCGTGCGAATAGATGAAAAGATTGCATGAATGAGTGAGCGAGTGAAAGATCGAGGAAGAGAACTTATAGGAACACCGTTGCACGTTGGTATGTGCCTTCAATTACTCATCATACAGTAGTAACAATTAGAGACAAACTTATTTTAACGAGTATAAGACGAACGAGATGAACGTAAGTTACCGTTAACATCATAATATGACGCTTAATTATACGTGTGCGGGACCGAACACTTAACCGTACTCTTCCTTTGTATGAGTGTGTTTATGCTCTCTTCATCCTAAACTTTGTTCGTAAAAATAAATTGCACTTGAGAATACGCACACTTGCCTGGGGCAAAAGGAGAGCGAGATTAATCACGACGCAATTAAAAAGAATGCTCGCAGTTCCAAATGTTATCCAAAGTCAAGTATCATTAGATTTGTAATAACGTAAAATTATAAAATTAACGCGACAGTACAAATAGTAAAAAAGAAAAATTGTATTTAGGTTAAGGTAGATAATATTTGCAGTGTTTCATAACTTTGATTATACTAATGCGTTTTATAGAAATTTACATAGTGCAGCATATTTGATAATATATTTGAAATGAACAGTGCGTACGCGTACGCATGTGTGTACATATGCACATACACTGTACATGTGAGAAATAGCAAGAAATATATATTGTTTTGCAAGTTGAAAGTGATTTCGCACAAGAGGTAGTAATTATTAATAAGTTTACTTGGTTTTCTCCTTACTTCTTTATGATTTGTTCAACTATAATAACAATAATAAACATACATTTGGAGTAATAGAGGGCGTAATAGAACGTTTTTCTTTATTACGCGATCGGTATTTCAGATTGAGACACGACGTCTCGTAAAATAATAAGCCTAGTCAGAACCTTGTCTGTATTTTGCAATATCGAATAGCCTCACACACGATTATGATCAATAAAGATCAAAATTGACTGTGACATTGACGATATTCTGTTACTGGCTTGAATACGTAACAGTACACTTGTCATTTCTTCGAGGAACATATTGGTGTCACGGACCTTCCGGTGAAATTGAAACGTAAGTACAACAAATTTAAGAATCACAATAGACGTAAATAATACTGTAATAATCATTTTGAAAATATTTCGTTAAGCTACGTACTTATTGATATATCATGGTTTGAGAGAATCGCAGTTTCTCAACAATGTCTGGTTGCTTTTGCTCTTTGAACTGTTTCACAAAGAGTGCAAAACAAGTTCGTGTTGGGAATAGATTTATTGTTTTGAATTTTGTTCATTTTTTTCAGATCTTAATAGATATGTTTGCATAAACTATCACTTTAGCTTTAAAATCAAACGACAATCAACATTGTTTGAGGCTGCTATTAGAAATATGTGAAGTTTAAAAGGAAAAAAAAATTTTACTTGCTTAATTAAAAAAGTCGTAAAAATGGGAATGTTTGATAAAGAAAAAGAAGATAGACGTTCGTTTTTTTTTTTTTTTTTGATCATGTTTATTCACGCAAAACAAGAATAGACCTAAATGTCCATGTCATTAATCGTACGCGTACACACATTTGCGTGCGTACACGCCGCTTAGGTACATGAAGAGCGTGTACGCATTTTTTCTATGCATATACGTGCATGTTCATACGTTACATAGTATGCATGTTTCTCTAAAGTAGAACGCGCGTATAATGTAGAATGTGTCCACGTATACTTGTATACGTTTTGCATAACGTACGTTTCAGTAGGTGTACACGGTATACGCGCACTCGTGTATGTACATGTTTGTATGTATGCATGTATGTAAAGTATTATATATATATATAATATATATATATATTATATATGTATAAGAGAATTGTACAAGAATCAGATCAAATCGAATAATACATTTACATATTCTAAGCCATATTCTCTCTTCATTTCTACCAACGTTTGCCCGATCGAATGAAATGCAAAGTGCAAAATACAATAAAACTGCGATCAATCAAATCTTCCATTGGATTTGGTATGGCAATAGCAAGAGTACGTATTTAAAGGCGATAGAAACGAATAGTTAAATACTGGCGATAAGATTTCGGAACGATATCGGAATGGTTTCAATACTGATTTTGGAATGGTTCGTAATGATCCCGGCGTACCCGGGAGGAGCGTTAGAGAACAATAAATAATAATGCTCGATTAATGTTAATGAAAATCTCCGTGTTCGTCTCCACTTATTTAGTTAATTACGAATCCTGCGGGATAGTTATAGAGATCATCTATTGGAAACGTAAACATGTAATAAGCGGAAACGAATCGATTTCGGACAGTGTTTGTGTTACATAAGTTTTATGACCGCTATTTTACGATCACCTTTCTCAGACCACAAGAAAGTGAACAAAATAAATAAATATCATACGTTGTACCTATACGTACCGGCCAACTCCGTTCAACGTTCGACGTGCTAACGTTCACGTTTAATCAATTTCATGATCAATTATGTTCTGATTACTATGCAATGCAATGCAATTTCGCACTTGATCATCGTCGAACGTGAACTGTGAGACGCTAACAGCTATAACAACAATAAGTATACATACTATAAACTAACAATACAATATATATAATTATAAAATAATGTAATATTGCGTAACATAATAGTGATAATAGAATTGTAGCAGCGGTGATTGTTAATAGTAGCGATAGGGTGTTGCTAGTTAATAATAAAGGTGGCGGTTAACAACAGCAGTAACAGTGGCGATAGTAATGATGCTGATCGTTGGCTCTTTGTTGCACAGTCGTTATCGTCGTCGTCGTCGTCGTCGTCATGTAGTCGTTGTGGTCAGATGACAAAAGTAAATAGTGTTAGTTTACAAGTTTAACGGCGTTGGTAATAGTAGAAATAGTGTATAGGAGCGGTGGCGACAGAGCCGATAGTAATTGTTGTGGTAGCGACAATCGGGAGTATGTCGTAGCAGTAACAATAGTGATAGTAGTACTATTGGAGGTAGCAGTAGCGATAGTTAAGCAGCAACAGCAACAATATCATCGTTCAGCAATGGTATAATACTTATTCGTTGTTGCGGTTGCTATGATAGCAGCGACGGCAATTAACGTAGCGTTAACGATAGAATTAAATACTGTAGATAATGTTGGTAATGACGACATAATAATGTGCAATTTTATTGATGAGAGTCCTCTCTATTGCACATGTTCTTTTTGTCCTGCTTCTATAAAATTAAGGTCTACCGCTAAAAACGATATCGTAGCGTGAATCGATAATTTACGCTTGTTAAGAGACAAAAAGAAACATGCAAAGCTATTTGATCCATTTTTTAGTCGCGAATCGCAAACTTTGAAAGGACTCTAATTACGTTATCTACTTAAAACCATTCGAGTGGCATGTATATTGAATAAGTAACGTGTACGGGTGCTGATTTTTTTTTCATTTTTACTTTTAAGAATCATAATACCGATATAAAAGGAAATAAAAAATAATCGTCGTAATAACGTACGACATTGTTCGACGCAAATAATTATTAATGATTAATCAGATAATAAAACAAAACGCAAATATCGCAAGAACGCAAATATTCTGTCGACTAGATTCGTATATGGGTATACATCAGCACGCAAACTTCGCTCATACCGCTTCGTTTCTATCTGATTTCTTTTTTACATAGGTATGTAACGTTTTCCTTTTAATTAGAGAGAAAAAACTAAGGCAATATGTAATGACATTTATGTTTGCGTTAGTAATTAATAGATCGGTTTGATTAAGCTTTCAATCACCGGTTTCGTCATTTTCTTGTACTACAAGTGGAATCTTTTTCCATTTAGCGCAAATTGATTTCGAAATGAGTAGACCTAATTATGCGCGTGTGCGTGCGTGTGCATGTCACTAGTCACTCGGTTACTGTTATACAATACGTATATTGTCGTTGCATTCAATTGCATCTCGAACGGAAAAAAGAAAAGAGGAGGTATGATCGCGTAGCGTGCTTCGAATTCCCAGTTCAGGAGTGTGTGTGTGCGTGTGTGCGCGCGTGTGCGTGTATATGTATATACGATCTTCCTTTGACTACACGAAGGAAATATGTAGCGCGGACGAGAGTCAATGGAATTTCCAAGATACATATCCTACGTGTAATCGCGACGACCGTTTCTCTAAAAGTTACTTAGGTAGGCTTCCCGGTTTTTCGCTTGTTCCTCGTTGGTCTCGTTAGAATCGTTCATCGTAGATGTCGTGTGAATGAAGCCCTTCGTAATGAAAGCGCTTCTCTGTTCTTTTCCTCTTATTTCTTGCCGCCTAGGTACTCGACCATCTCTTCAAACTTTTCCTTTTCATCCTCAAGCAGCAGCGCTTGAATACAGCTCGTAAAGTATTGCGTACCAAAGCAGTCTTGCCTAAATATATACCAAACGATTAATTAGATTCGGTTCATACTCCGCGTCATCCGTCAAGCGAGTCGAGAACGTTCTTCTCTTTCGTTGGAAATCAGATTTCGAAACAGGACAAGTTTCGTTCATTCTGTATTTCAAAAATGTGCAAGCAATATTAAATTTGATTTCCAACGATGATTAGAAAAAGAGAGTTAGTAGAAGGGAAGGTGCTTGCATTTTCAAAAATCGTGACTGCAAGGGAGGCAAAAAGTTACACCCGATAAAACCACCTGAAAAAAATGGTTTAAAAAAATCTCATGTGCTATTTCCTTCGGCATTCTGAAATCCATCTGAAAAATCTTCAAAACTTATGCTAACGACAATCGCGTGCCGCAAAAATCTGCTGAGAGATGGAAAACGCTCAAAAAAGATTGCCCATTAGAAAAACGTTTAAGGATGTATTGGCTATACAGTCAATCCCAAAAGTTTATGTACTTTAGAAACGCATTTTTTAAAAAGAAATCAGACGTCGGAAGAAAATTGCTATTAATAAACAACAGAAAAATTTTTCGATTTTTCCAAGATTTTTCCAAGGG